TTCAAGCTCCAATTCCATCGATATTACGAGGGACGACAGAGCGTGTGGAAGGGGTTGTAGTATAACCGTCCAAAGTTGTGTCCTTGACATTTCAACTGGTTTCTTTGCATTCTCAGATATCAAGAACGAATCGTTGATCTCAAAGTAATGCCAGTTTCTAATAATCAATAACATAAAGTTACAAATTTGTTGTGAACCTCATCCGCCTGGATCAGTGGTTTCAGTCCAATCGTTATCATGTTTCGTTAACGGGATCGCTTTTGAGGCGCCTTTTTCCCTCCACAACACCGATGACAATGATTGACGCAATTCTTTTTATAACCTTTTTCAGCCATAACATGGCGTGGCGTGGGGAAATGGAAAAAATTATATTCTTAATGTGATATTTTTGAGAAGCATGACGCTTTTACGATGCAACTGTGATACGTGATTTAAGGGAGGTAATTACTGGTGTAAATTTTTCTTTTCTTTTCCCGTACAGGGTCTTCAGGAGCTCTGTTATGCTCATGGTATCCCAACTCCCTCCCTAACCCTTACCTTGTCATGCCAAAAACGCATCTCTTGTCGACCAGAGTCTTGAACAAAATATCAGGCGTGCATTTGACCATTGGTAAACGGCCAGATCTTACACTGAATTGAAAGTCGACTATTGTTATTACAATGAGCGGGTGTCAAAAGTCATGTCTGGGTCGTCTGTGGATCGCTTGTCTATGCTTGATTGAAGAGGAGCAAAGTTTTAGGAAAAGACGCCAAACAGTCCCATATTCAGGACCGATTTGTTGGGCTAAATTGGTGCTCTTATGATCGAGTCCAACTTAGTCGCCCCTTCCGAAATGGAAAAATGGTTTAAATTATGCAAACGACCTTATATTTTCTAACAAGTAAACCGCTTTGGATTGCAAAATCTGTGATAATACGAAATCCAATTTGCATCCTGATGTCCAATTAAGGCTCATTGCAAGTCCATGCCCAATCGATCAACAACACTCCAATGCGGACTTCGGAACCCCGCAGTCTGATCCCCCCCCCCCCCATCCCTGTCATTTTCTACACCAAAACCGCACATTGGCGTGCGGGGATCATAGCTCATCCGAAACGGCGGAGCAGAGGTCGTAGTTCGCATGCTGCGGGTAGGGCTTGCGCATGTCACTCAACGTTTGAGCTGACCTGAGACCGACCGCTGGGATGCGGCCGCTGCAGAAGCCATTTAGCGGTGAAAGCATCGCTGTTGCGTGCGGAGAAGGAGCCAATATACTTTAGCCCGGGAATGCTAACCCAGCTACTGCAGAGTATCCAAAATTCGGTGTGAAGTAGATAGATGGATTTTTCGGGCACGTCTGTTTTTTAAAAGCAGTTTCCGGTTTGTGTGGCTGATGATGCTGAGCTGCGACCTTGCCGTTTTCAGAGGATGGAAGCAATAGATGAACTATACAGAACTCCTATTCCTGGTAGGTCGTAAAATAACTTTATGATAATCTCGTGTCATAAAGCCGCAGCAGGCTCGACCACTAAATCCAATCTTCTGGGTCCGAGCAACACAGCATACCTGCAGCAACAGAAAAGTGGTCTTTATGAACCTTGGACCCTATGAGCATTGCATATGCTCAAAGGTTCAATGCCTCTTCCGAGCCCGAGATTCCACTCTTTTTTTCTGTGTCAGGGCTGTGTCAGCGGGCGGGCTCCGGCGGGACCAGACAGAGCCTTCCCTTGTGTCGTTCTACCTTGTGCAAGGCCTCTGTCAGCTGGCGGCTTCTGCCAGGATCACACAGGGCATCCCCTTCTGTCCTTCTCCCATGTGTCAGGGCCTCTGTCAGCGGGTGGCTCCCGGCAGGATCAGACAGGGCCTCCATTCCTCCGTCCCTCTCCCTATGTCAGGGCCTCTGTCAGCGGTGGCTCCCGGCGGGGCCAGGCACGGCCTCTGGGCGAGCCGGGCCGGCCGATACCGGACCGGCCGCTAATGCGGGGCTCGCGTGCCGGCGGGCGGCTCGGCTGGTCGGCCGTCGACCACCGCACCGCTCCCGCCGCCGAGGCACGAGGCAGCGCCGACCACCGGAGCTCTCGGCCGACCCGCCTACCAGCTGATGATGTCACGGGACCGATGGCACGGACCTGACGTCACAGTGCTAGTGATACAGACATGACATCACAGGCCTGCTGGGTGTAACGGGATCGATGGCACGGACCTAACGTCATAGTGCTGGTGATAGAGATATGACGTCACAGGCCGGCTGGGTGTCACGGAATCGATGGCACAGACCTGACGTCATAGCGCTGGTGATAGAGATATGACGTCACAGGCCGGCCGGGTGTCACGGGATCGATGGCACGGACCTGACGTCACAATGCTGATGATACATATATAACGTCACAGGCCTGCCGGGTGTCACGGGATCAATGGCACAGACCTGACGTCACAATGCTGGTGATCCAGATATGACGTCACAGGCCTGCTGGGTGTCACGGGACCGATGGCACGGACCTGACGTCACAGTGCTGGTGATGCAGATATGACGTTACAGACCTGCCGCCACAGGTCTACCGTCACGGATCCGCCCGCTCCGAGCTGCCGCCACAGAATTGTCAACGTACATGTTACATATATGTGCGTAGTCGAAACGTCATGAAACCATTCATCTGTTCACATAACTTTGTGGTCTCGGACAAATATTATCCACGATCAAGCCCAGGCCTCTAAACTGCTAAACCACTCCTGGGCACATCTGGGTCGGCTGCTCCGGCGCTCCGATAGCTGGAGACGTAGGCCAACTCACGGGCATTGCGCTGTGCGAAATCCCCACAAACATTGCCTGGCGACAGGGCGCCGGTGCCTGCCTGTCGCCAAACGCTGCGGGGGGCAACATTGGAACGCATTGGAGCGCAAGGGGTGCAGTTGCCGGGTCCGGAGGTAACAAACACTCCTCGTCCGGTCGTGGTGGCCATGCTCGGAATGTTTTCTCTATCCTGAGCTGGACGGACGTAAGCTATTGCGACGGCGCCGTTACATCGGCGTTGCATGAGCTGTTAAATATTTAGCGATGTTCCCACAGCACTTGGTTTGCAGATCCAGTAGTTGGCAGTTAGCGGCATGGCGCGCCTGTCGTGTACCGGCGACGCCACGCACAGTTTTACCCTGCGACGCCGCCCATTATGAGATCGGGAAGTGTGCACAACTCGTGTAATCGTGCATTATTTACTAGCGCGTGCACGGCTGAAGTTGTTAGCAGCGTAGCCTCTTTCGTTCGGTGTGTCGTTGGACCGGTGAAATACGCAGTAGTTACTACTTACCAGAGCCGGCTCGTATGATTTGTGTAATGCACTTGGGCGTGGACGCGGGAAAGCTGCTGAGGTTAGAGCTCCCAGTCTGGGAAACGGCGCGAAATCAAGCTGGTCGTCAGGTATCGGGCGCGTTATATGAAAATTGGTGAAAAATTATGAAAATTGAAATGATGTATGAATGTAAAAATGAAATGTGAAAAATATGAAAAATATGTGAAAATATTGCCATAGGACATTGGTCTACAGTCTTGAATATTTTCAGCTCGCTTGTACGCTCCGATAGTCGAAAAGTTGTGGGAGGTTCCATGCATTAGGAGCCGCCATGCCTGGAATATTGGTGTCTGTCTCCGCTGGCGCTCACGGCTCCCACTGCACTGCCGTCGTGTGTGTTGATAAGGTGCGAGGCGCGGTGTCAACACGGATGGCTTCGAAAGGAGGACACGCTGCATGGACACGGACGCTGCTGCGGTGTTGCTCTTGAGGTACCGGCTAGCGCTGCGGCATTCTCTGCGTCGCTACTGGGATGGATTTCCATCAGACGCGAATAGGTCACACCATCGCCAGCGGGACATTGACCTCCTTCACCCGGTCTGGTGTTCGGTGACTCGGTGATGAGCACGCCGCGATGGGTCACGAAGCTGACTCGCCCGGCACCACTGCCCGGCACCACTGCCCGGCACGCGTCTCACCCCATCAGACCCGTAAAAGGTGCGCTGACCCGGGCCCCTCTTCCCATCTACCCCTGTTAACCTGGCGCATCGCTGGGGCACCGACTCGCGCCTCTCTTCGTTGTGATCCTGAGCTCGCCCCTGTCGCCCTGTACTCGGCTGGGCGGCGGCCGGGCGTGGCCATACACAGACGGCTCCTGGGGATCACAGGCCGATTTACAGGGGTCCAATATGCTCTGATGGCATACTTTATGGCCAAAGCGCACACATAGTTTAATTTGCACGAAATTGACTGGGGTCAAGCCTGCCGACCCCACTGGTGGTCGCGCTCACGGGAGAAGGCTGTGCTCGGTGGGGACCATCGGCCGCGGGCATGATGTCTCTGTCCCATCACTTTGGCGGATGACGTGATTACAACCGGATACGTTGAAAGAGGAGGAGTGACATGTCATCCCCGTCAGCTCGGTGATGGGGAAGACAGGCAGTCATGACTGTGATCCCACAACGGAGTTGCAGTCATGACATGAAAACAAAGAAATATATCGAGCGTTGCATAGAACGGACGGACCCGAAATGGGCTCCGCGTTACGAACGTGTTGGGATAGTTTTGCCTCGGGCAGGCGTTAATGTTGTGATCTACATAGCATTTGATACGACTGACCACCACGTGATGTCCGGTCGCGATCCTGCTGTGAACTGAAAGCCATATCGGGCCCGTGTCACCTGACTTTTAAACAGGGGCGGCGACAAAATGACCTACGCCAGACCGCGCACGAACAGAGCTGGCTGCGTAGTACAAGTAGTGTCGGGCTTCGCACCATGGCCCGGGCAAGGTATTGTATACGGCGAGGGCAGGAACCCGTGTTGATTATAACCGGTTAAGCGATCGAGACTAGCCGAGACCACGCCATCGCTCTGTAGGTGACTGAAAGAGGTGTTCAGCAGAACTTCTAAGCTGGCAGATGAGTCGACGGCTGGCCTCCCGCCCGTCCTCGGGGCCGAGGCGGGCGCGTCGGGCGGGGTTCGCTAACGGCTGCCTGCCCGCCTCTGTTGCAGATGAGCGTGCCGCGGGCGTGATGCTGCCGGCCGCCCGCCTGCGCCTGCTGCCGCTGGCGGCGCTAGTGTCGCTGGCGTCGGCCTTCTGTCCACAGCACTGCCGCTGCGACGACGCCCGGCTGGAGGCCAACTGCTCGGGCGCCCAGCTCGACAGCTTCCCGATCGCGCTGAATCCGCGCCTGAAGAGGCTCCTGCTGGCCGGCGGCGGCATCCGCCAGCTACACCGCAACATGATGGTCTCCTCATACAAGCAGCTGGAGGTGCTGGACCTCAGCCGGAATGGTCTGCGGGACTTGCAGCTGGGCAGCTTTGCGCACCAGCACCGGCTGCGCGAGCTGCGGCTGGCTGGCAACCGGCTGTCGCAGCTGGCGCCGCGCGTGCTGGCCGGGCTGCAACAGCTGCGCGAACTGGACCTCAGCGGTAACCAGCTGCAGAGCCTACCAAGCGGCCTGCTGCGCACCGTGCCTCTGCTCGAGGACCTCAACCTGGCTGATAACCAGCTGCATCTGCTACCGGCGGACAGCCTGGCGGGCGGCGCCGGCCTGCGGCGGCTCAGCCTGGCCGGCAACCGGCTGCGGCAGGCGCCAGCGGCGGCGCTGGCGCAGCTGCCGCAGCTGGCGGTGCTCGATCTCTCCTCCAACCGGCTGGCGCAGCTGGACGGCGGGGATCTGGTGCTGCCTGAACTGACGCACCTCAGCCTTGCTGGGAACCGGCTGGCGCGGCTGGACAGCGCCGCGTTCGCAGACCTCGGCTCCCTGCGTCGCCTCGTGCTCTCCGACGCCGGGCTAGCGCGCCTGGAGGGCGTCACCTTCGCGCCGCTCGCGCAGCTTGAGGAGCTCTACCTGGACGGGAACCGCCTGCGGCGGCTGGGCGGCGAGCCGCTGCGCGTGCTTCCGCGGCTCCGACTGCTCTCCGTGAGCGGGTGTCCGCTGCTGAGCGCGCTCGAGCCGGACGCCTTCGCCGCCGGGCCGGCGCTCCAGGAGCTCCTGATCGAGCGCAACCCGCGCCTGACGGCCGTGCCGGCCGGCGCCTTCCTGCGCCTACCACGTCTGCGTCGGCTCAGCCTGCGCGCCAACGCGCTCGCCTGGCTGCCAGCCGACGCCTGCGCCTGGCCGCGCTTGCAAGCGGGCCTGGGCGACAACCCGTGGTTGTGTGACTGCGCTTTGCGCTGGCTCGCCGAGGCGGCAAACAACGACAGCTGGGGTGGCGCCGCTTGTGCGCACCCGCCGGCGCTGCGTGGTCGACCCGTGTCCGGTCTCTCGGCGGAGGAGCTGGGCTGCGCGCCGCACCGCACAGCCCCGCCCCTGGCGCTGGCCGCGGCGCTGGCTGGGGTTGCTGGTGGCGCTGGCGCTGACGGCCGGCGCGCTGCTCGCCTGCCGCCGCCGGCGCCGGCTCCGCAAGCGGCTCCAGGTGTTCGGCTGGCGGGGCCGGCCGGCCGCGTCCGACAAGGCGCCGCCGCCGCCGCCGGCCGCCACATACTACTATCGGGACGCACAGGGGCTGGACGGCGGCGGGGACGTCAGGCTGGTGCCCGTCACAGAACTGTGACCGCCGCCTGTAGCGGACCTGGGGCGAGACGTGAGCGATTCCAACCTGAGCTGCGACCGCAATAGACCTAGTCCTCCGGGGGGCTGCAGTGGATCTGGTCCTGCGGGAGATCGCAGTGGACCTGGTCCTCCGGGAGGCCGCAGTGGATCTGGTCCTCTGGAAGACCGCAGTGGATCTGATCGTCTGAGGGGACGACGGTGGACCTGGTTCTCTGAGGGGCTGTAAAGGACCTGGTTGTCAGGAGAATCGCAGCAGACCTCGGGAGAGACCGGAACGGGTCCCGGGCCGACCCGCGCTGTGAAGTGCACCAAAGTGGGAAGCGGAGGGGAACACGGTAGGCCGCTAGTCTGGCGGGAGTGAGGTGATCGTGCCGCGCGATTGTGGCAGGGGCCCGTCTGTGATCGACCGAAAACGCTGCCGTTGCGTTCAGCATATCATAGATACTGGAGTGTTCCGGTTGTGGACTGATTGCCTCGGATTGACTGAGCTGTTGAAGCGACGCTGGGCGTGGATGCAGTTGGGAAGATGCGATGCAAGTGTCGTGTGGTTGATGCTTCCTTGGTCTGTAAAGCCGTGCTCATGCATTGGCATTTCGGTATTTGCGGTTATTCGCGTGCATTGTGAGAACCGTGGCGGCCAGTATCGCGTAAGTGCTCATGCCCAGGTGTACTTTTCACTTCATCTTGTCATAGAACGATGTTATCCCAGATGACGTCGGTTAGAACACATCAGCTAGCGCTGTGTTTTCTATGTTTTGACTGATTGGACATGTCACCTCAAGTTGTGATATGTCACGGAAGCCGGCAGCAGTTGGTCGGAAAATGGTCTTGGATGTGGTCGGAAAATTCGTAGGATGTATCTTTGGAATCATCAGTTTTTTAAGGTACCGTTACTGTTCATCTTTCACTGTACGTGTCATGCAAACATAGCCTTCTTCATTTTGATTTGTGTCGTGTTGCAAGCTTCCAAGCCACGCAAGTGCCATGTCTCGAACTTCCTTTTCGATCGATCTTCGAACTTCTCGATCAGGCGTTCCAAAGAAAAATTGAGAGGAAGTTGCACTATTTCAGGAGGGCGGTATCAGTCTGGATGGAGATCTGGTTTTAGAATATTAATAGCCTACTCGTTCGAGGCAAAATAAAACTAGATCAGGTTTTTGATAGGTCTGGTTCCTCAATAACAGTTCGGCATCGAATAGAGTCCTAGAATGTAAACATGCGCGTGCAATTTCAACTGAATGTCGAAGCCTGCACATGGCCACCGGTATAACTGCGCCCATTATTGTGCATTGTGATTGGTGCAGATCACTCCGGCCTAAGACCCACTCTTCAACGCTGTAGATGGTCATGCGTTCGACTTGCGCGAATATTTCTATCCGCCTTAATTCCTTCACTGAATACAGTCGTAACAGGCAGCAAAGCGAACGCCCTGGTTTCAGCCACGCCATCAAAACATCAATCTCCGCCTGCATGCAAGCAGGCGATTGTGGACTGCAGAGCCGCAGCTATGCCTGTAACAAGTGCACGGTGCGTTGTTGCCTGATCAACGGTAGTGCATGCAGCGAGACTATAGCTCGCAGCCGCCATGGCCCGCTGACTGGGTCAGCGGAGGGTTAGGGTCGGGACAACCCCTCCCCCTCCCCTGGACCGCAGAGTTGAGAACCGCGCCACCGCTCACAGGTCCGACGCTGCATTCATGCATGCATATCAAGGCATTATTCGCATACATTGAGCATCACATTGTCACAATGTCTTGTGACGCTGCACTCTTGGAATGCACCGCCGGAACAGCTCGCTGTCTGGGAAACACGACGTGGCCTTCCCTGTGGCCCGGGCCCGACGGCGACGGCCGCCAGCCTCTGGCTGGTGGCTCCGAAATACTATCCAGCTGACTGGCAGGAACGCTTTGCTGCTGATGTGCGCATACGTCGCCACTGAAAGGCATCGTATCGCTGTTGGCCTGGAACAGTACGGGATGCTTCGTGAGCTGAAGCGCAGAACGGGACGGCAAACGTCCCCAGTGGCACGTTCGGATTTCAGCCGACGCCGTGATTCATGCGGCAAGAAAGGCGGCATGCTACGCGTCGCGCAGTTCACGTGCAAGTTTTTGTTCAATCCTGGCGCCTGGTGGCAGGCTGGTAAAATCGTTTCGGCACGCCGCTAATCTGCAGCGCGCGGATTATCCTCGCGCTCCGCCGGTGTCGGTGGCCTCTGGGCAAGACTGAAGCTCACTTGATATACGCGCTCCGCCTGTACACGTAACAGGTTTGAGTTTTGCCGGTGTTAAAATGTATGTCTGACCCTCGAAGCTCTCAGTTTGTTCAAGGCGCGAAAAGGATCAGGTGAAAAGTACACGCCGAAAAATTAAAGGAGTAAATTAAAGGAGTGTTCCACATTTATGTGGGAGCTTTGGACTGAGACAGCCATCTTGAAGGGCTGTCGGTGCTGTTCACAATCCTGCCATTCTTAAGGCCTGAGCCCTTTCAGTTTCTGAGCTACATGCCCTCGAAAATGGGGAGAAGTATATCGGGCAGATATCAGTCACCTTGCCGTTCGTAACGTCATAACAGCGCCTCTCAAGTCCTGCTTTTCCATAAGCCATGCGACGAGCAAGGTCAAGTAAAAATATATTTCTGAGACGTTCATATCTGGCATTGGAGAGCGCGATTTCTAGATATAACAACTGTCAATTGACTCTCAATTAATGTTGTGCGAGGTACAATATAGTGATCAAATCATGACGCATTGAAGAGCACGTTTACTAAACAGGGAGTTGTGCTGTCTAGAGCAGTCTTCTCAAATTAAAAAAAAACATGTCAATAGTTATAAGTGAGCTTTTTTCGTCATGTCTGATGCTTGCTCTAACATCTTCGAATGCGAAACATTCCCTTTAACACGCACTCTGTTGGCTCACATTGACCCCCCCAAAGGTTTTTCCGGAATGGTTTCCGAACGGCGCGGCGTAGCCGCGCCAAATTTTGCATAGTTGTAGGCAATTGAATAGCAGATCGTCTGGCATCAATAATTTGGACGTATCTTGTAGAGTCGCTGACCTATTGCCGGTCAAAGTCAGACCATGGTTTTAGCGGGGACAGTTTCTAGGAAATTGTTCATTCTGATCCAAGAACTGAGTGTCAGACGAGGCCATACATCTCTGACATACCCTCTTAGGTGACACAACAATTTAATTAACAAATTACATTGACCTAAGGTCAGGTATGAAGGTCGGACCAGGGTTAAAATCAAACTGTTTTATTATTGTAGGGCTTGCTTGAGTGGGGTAGATTTTGGTGCTCATTTCGAATGTATTAATAATAGGAACTGCATTAGACTCCTTTCATGGACTTTTCAAGGTCAGAATAGGTCACTGATCTAAAATGATCCGGGGCAATATTTTGTTTTTAGGAGCATACTGCCCAGCGAAATCTTTGTTGCCTTGTCCAAACGCAAAACTCAAAACGGTTCCGTACGTTTCCGGTCACCATAACCTTCAAAAGGTCAAACAAGGTCACTGACCTTTGATGGGCATGCGAATTTTTGCTTGGAACAGTTATCTAGGTTTCAGGGTCTAGTCTAAGACCAGCCTGGAACTCGACCTTGTTTGACCTTATTTGACCCAAAGATCATGACCTAGGAACCTCAAACTTTGACCTAGGTAAGTTTACGTACAGGTCAACACACCCAGCGAATTGAAATCGATGTTTCTTGCTCCCTTAGTTCCTGAAATCTCAGCGGGTCAAATCGACCCCCCACCCGGGCGGAAGGCATCCAACCGGTCACCCGCGCGGGTGTTGAGTGAGGTTTATAAGTTTACGATTCAAACGTGCCTAGAGTAGCATTTACGACAAAAACATGGGATGTGTTTGGTTGTTTTGGGACAAAAGTGCGCGTGGGAAAAGTACGCATGCACATAGGCGTAGGAACGTTTCAAGAAGTGGGGGGGGGGGGGGTGGCAAACTCAGGGTGTACTTCAGGAACTTTTTCTGGAAAGCAAGCCCGATATCCGGGGAGGGGGGGGGGGGCCGGGAATGGAGAGGCTGTTAATATGCATCTATGCAACTAGAGCTGTTTCTCACTGGTGCACAATCTTGCCTGTTCGACTCATCTGTCATTTGGCAAATAAGGCTACCCAGCTCCCTAGATTATTCGTCCATTTGAATATTCTCTTTCCCGGGGAGGAGAAAGTCCACGAGCGGGTAGTCATTTTGGGTCATTGAGGAACCATCTGCCTCCAGAGTGTAGATGCCGAAATGCCGGCCTGGATATATGCTGGTGAGAATTTTAAAAGTGGATCGACGGCTCACAGTGCGGCAGATTTTTCATGCGCTTACATTTCGCTGGCTGTTTTTCAAGAGATAAGACTTGTCGCAGTATTTTAGGCGAAGAAATCGGGAGCCTGAAACTGCTAGCAGCAATGTGACAAAAGCCATAAAACTGGACACACTCTCTTAAGAACTAAGCCACATAATAAGGCCCATCTGTCATACGTTTCTTATCTGGGCCCTGCTCCTGTCCGCCGTCGGTGGCCACTGCCCTGGCCCGGATGTTTCCCTCATGACTGACTGCGAACTGATCGTATGGCTGCTTTGTTGCATACTTTTGGATTAGCGTTACTACTTCATAGTGTATGCAACATGTGTTGGACACCTGCAACAGTATCTTTTTCAGAATTATTTGCCCTCACAACAAACCATCGCAGAACAAAGCCTCCGGGAAGCTGTCTGCCTTAGGCATGAAATTGTCCAAAGGACACTTCATTGCTCATCATGCAACGTATGCGACTTGGTCTGCTTTTGTGTGTAGGCGGGGGTGTAGTCAGAGCCTTGCCAAAGGGGAACACGAGGTTGACAAAAGCCCATGCTTATGGGGGTCCCCCCCAAAAAAGATATTCGGATATAGGTTACTTGTCAACAAGTGACACAGTTTTTCTTCGTTTTATTGTTATTTTTACCATGTAACCAGAAAAGAAACCAAAAGGTACCGTGATCTCAGTTCCGTTTGTATGTTGAGACTAATAAATTGCATAAATCAGGCG